GCAACAAGGCCCTGAATTTGAACAGTCAAATCCAACAGCCAGGCGCCTGTGGCTCACGCCTGTAATCCTAGCTACTCAGGAGGCTGAGATCTGAGGATCATGGTTCAAAGCTAGCCCAGACAGGAAAGGCCGTGAGACTCTTAACCTCCAATAAACTACCAGAAAACCAGAAGTGGCGCTGTAGCTCAAGAGGTAGAGCACTAGCCTTGAGCTGAAAACCTGAGGGACAGTGCCCAGGCCCAGAGTTCAAGCCCCACGACTGACCAAAAACAAAAAAAAAACCAGTTTGGTTATTTCCTTTGCTGAAATAGCAGTTTCTCAGTGATACCACACTGAGTCCTTATTTAAAATTGTGCCCCTGGGGCTGGGAAGGTGGCTCAGTGGTAGAGCGCTTGCCTTGCATGCCAGAGGCCCTGGGTTCGATTCCTCAGCACCACATAAGCAGAAAGAAAAAAGCCAGAAGTGGCGCTGTGGCTCAAGTGGTAGAGGGCTAGCCTTGAGCTGAAGAGCTGAGGGACAGCGCCCAGAGTTCAGGCCCCACTACCGGACCCCCCCCCCCCAAAAAAAAAAAAAAAGAATAAATAAATAAAATTGTGCCCCTGACCACACTTGGCTGATTTTTTTTTTTTTGTGGGAGACCAGGACTTGAACTGTGTATCTGATACTTTATGCTCATTGGTAGGTGCCTTACTACCTGAGTAGTCTCGCCTCTCACTCCTGATGTTTTTTTCTTTCACAGTTATTTGTTATGCTTCTTTCAGGTTAAGACTCAGGAAGGCAGGAAACTTGTTTCTCTTCTTTTATTTTTGCCCATCCTGGACCTTGAACTCAGGGCCTAGGCTCTGTCCCCGAGCCTCTTTGTGCACTTGAACAACAACACCACTTCCAGCTTTTTCTGAGAACTTTATTAGAGATTAAGGGGCTGGGAATGTTGCTCAGTGGTAGAGTGCTTGCCTAGCATGCATGAAGCCTGGTTCAATTCCTCAGTACCACATAAACAAAACGCCAGAATTGGTGCTGTGACTCAGCAGAAGTATTTCTGAAAATGGAAGCTCACAGAATGGGGCTGCTGAAAAAGATGCCTGCTAGTAAGGTGCCTGAAATAAATTGTGTACTTTGTTGAATATATGTTGGGAAAACAAAGTATTTAAGGTTCAGCTGTACCTGGTGCTAGTGGCTCAGGCCTGTAATCCTGGCTACTCAGGAGGCTAAGATATGAGGATCATGGTTCCAATGCAGCCTGGGCAAGTCCCAGTTGAGACTCTTACCTCCACTTAACTATTCAAAACCCAGAAATGGTGCTGTGGCTTAAGTGGTAGATCACTAGCCTTCAGCACAAAGAGGCTCAGGAACAGTGCCTAGGCTCTGAGTTCAAGCCTCACAACGTACAAAAAAATGTTCAGCTCCTTACTACTCCTTTGAAACAAATACTAGTAATAAAATAGTAATTCTTGTTTGTTCACATTAACCTTGGAAGTCTAGACTAGTGTATTTCTCAAGTTGTCCTCAGTTGCCCTAGAGATTTCAATGACTTAATGAACTAAATCAGTGAAGAGAAACCAGGAGTCCGCTGGAGTTGGATCAGGAGAATATTATGGAGTGGAAAAAAAGAATTTTATTGAGGGCTGTAAGTTGATTTAGAAAAATTGATAACAGAACAAATTATGGGTCATTCCTTTCTCTACTTTCTTTGGGAGGAGATCCCGGTCATTATTGTTATTTTGATAAATTTGGGGGGGGAGATGTTGAACTCAGAGCCCAGATGCTATCTTGAGCTTCCTTTGCTGGAGGCTGGCTTGCTGGCTTGCTTGCTTTCTTTGTCTGTCTCTCTCTTTCTTTCTTTCTCTCTCTCTCTCCCTTCCTTCCTTCCTTCCTTCCTTCCTTCCTTCTTTCTTTTTCTCCCTCCCTCCCTCCTTCCTTTCTTTCTCTCTTTCTCTCTCTCTCCCTCTCTTTCTCTCTCTCTCTCTCTTTCTTTCTCTATTTCTCTCTTTCTTTCTTCCTTTGTTTCTTTCGTGGAGATAAGAGTTTCATAGACTTGGCCTGGGAATGTGGCTTAGTGGTAGAGTGCTTGCCTAGCATGCATGAAGCCCTGGGTTCTATTCCTCAGTACTACATAAACAGAAAAAGCCAGAAGTGGCGCTGTGGCTCAAGTGGTAGAGAGCTATCCATGAGCAAAAAAAAGTCTCTCCTGCCTGGGCTGGCTTTGAACCCCATCTTAAGATCTCAGCCTCCTGAGTATCTAGGATTACAGGTGTGAGCCACTAGTGCTCAGCTTGATTATTTATTTATTTATTTAGGATGGTCATGGGGCCCGAACTCTAGTCCTGGGCATTGTCCCTCAGCTCTTTAGCTTAAGGCTAGTGCTCTACCACTTGAGCCACAGTACCACTTCCAGTTTTCTAGTGGTTTATTGGAGATAAGAGTCTCATAGCCTTTCCTGCCCAGGCTGACTTTGAACCTTGATCCTCAGCCTCCTGAGTAGCTAGGATAGGCGTGAGCCACCGGCGCCCAGCTCAACCCCTCATTTTTTATGTTATGATTAAGTAGTTAAACATAGGGGTTACAATTCCATAAGTCATTTGAGTTCAGTGTTTCTTGGTCAGTGTTACCTGTGATTTTTGTTTTATTATTTTTTTTTGGGGGGGGGGGTCCAGTCGTGGGGTCTGAACTCTGGGCCTGGGCGCTGTCCCTCAGCTCTTCAGCTCAAGGCTAGCGCTCTACCACTTGAGCCACAGCGCCACTTCCGGCTTTTTTCTTTTTGCTTATGTGGTGCTGAGAAATCGAACCCAGGGCCTCTGGCTTGCAAGGCAAGCACTCTACCACTGAGCCACCTTCCCAGCTAACTCTTATCTTGTGGTGGTGGTGGTGATGGTGGAGGAGGAGGAGTTTGAAGTCAAGCCTTCTTGCTTGATAGGCAGATATTTCTACCACTTGAACCGTGGGCCCAACCCAGTTTTTTTTTGTTGTTGTTGTTGTTGTTTTTGTTTTGTTTTTTGGGTCCGGTTGTGGGGCCTGAACTCTGGGCCTGGGCGCTATCCCTCAGCTCTTCAACTCAAGGCTAGCGCTCTACCACCTGAGCCATAGTGCCACTTCTGGCTTTTTTTCTTTTTGCTTATGTGGTGCTGGGGAATCCAACTCAGGGCCTCATGCATGCAAGGCAAGCGCTCTACCACTGAGCCACCTTCCCAGCCCCAAACCCAGTATTTTCTTAAATGCCTTTTTGTTTCCTGGTGGCAATTGTATTTGCTTAGTTTTGCATAGGCCTCATACTAATTCATCTCGTAGTTTTCTAAATGCACCATAAAAAGAGTCTTTGGGATGGCCAGTCATAGTGGATCTGTCATCTCTGCCTTTTCTCTTGATCTTTCTCTAGGCTGTGGACTGAACTCCTTTGCTTGTACACAGAAGTCCCCTTATTTTCTGAGATGGCGTCTGTTCCAGGAGCTAATGTCTTCCATGGTTTACCTTCATGTTTAGTAATACACCTTCTGGTAGTTAAAGTGTGTGGGAGGCAACGTATTTGAGACCTTAGGTGCCAAAATGAACTGTTCTGTACTTAAAGCATGATTGATTGGCTGGCTGAGTATTTCATTTAGCAGGTGTGAAGTTCATTTTTTTTGGAAAGTTTGAAGGCATTGCTTCATTATCGCACCTCCCATATGTATATTTGGAACTGGGGACATGCCTCAAATTGTAGAGTACCAGCTGTGAGCCAGAAAGCTGAGAGCTCTAGGCACTGAACTGAAGTCCCAGTACCGGCATAAAAGACAAAAAAAAAGTCCCATTCTTTTAAGTTAGCCAAGTGCTATGTGGATATAGTGTGTGTGTGTTTTAAGGAGTTTAGTATATAACAGGGTTAAAAGAGGGAGAAATAGAATTTTTTCCCCCCAGTCCTGGAGCTTGATCTCAGGGCCTGGACACTGTCCTGAGCTTTTAAGCCCAAGGCTAGCACTCTACCACCTGTGTTACAGCGCCACTTCCCGCTTTTTCTGTTTATGTGGTACTGAGGAATCAAACTCAAAGCTTCTTGCATGCTAGGCAAGCACTCTACCACTAGGCCACATTCCCAGCCAGAGAAATGGGAAGTAAAGACTCACTGGTATGAGGTTTTTTTTTGTTTTTTTTTTGGGGGGTCCGGTCATGGGGCCTGAACTCTGGGCCTGGGCGCTGTCCCTCAGCTCTTCAGCTTAAGGCTAGCGCTCTACCACTTGAGCGACAGTGCCACTTCCGGCTTTTTTCTTTTTGCTTATGTGGTGCTGAGGAATCGAACCCAGGGCCTCAGGCATGCAAGGCAAGCACTCTACCACTGAGCCTCCTTCCCAGCCCTCACTGGTATGAGTTTTTATTTGACTTGCTCAGAGCTTCTTCAGTGTGTTGTTTTTTTTAAAAAAAATTCCATCACTATTTCCATTTTTCTTTCTTTTTAATTTTTAATTGTTAACCAGGTGCTGGTGGCTCACGCCTGTAATCCTAGCTACTCAAGAGGCTGAGATCTGATGATCATGGTTTAAAACCAGCCCAGGCAAAAAAGATGGTGAGACTCTTATCTCCAATTAACTGTCAGAAAACTGGAAGTGGACCTGTGGCTCCCAAGAGTACTAGCCTTGAGCTAGAAAGCTCATGGACATTATTGCCCAGGCCCTGAGTTCAAGCCCCATGACCAAAAAAAACAAGTATTGTTATTAAAGTGCTGTACAAAGGGGTTACTGTTTCATAAGTCAGGTAATGAGTTCATTCTTTTGAGGCAATTGTTACTTCTTCCTTTATCCCAATTTTTCCCTACTATCCCCTCCTACAAGTTGTATAGCTCATTTTCAATGTAGTATCTACTGAGTACCACTTCTGTATTTGTTCACCCTTTTCCCCCTTTATTTCTGCAACCGACTATTACCTCCCCACCCCAAGATAAATGAACGAACAAGAAAAAAGACCAAGAAACAAAAACCATCAAAAAGCAAAAAGACACCATCTTCACCAACAACAGGAGTGAGGGGACAAACCCTTGTTTTCCCCATCCTCCAGTCTCTTCTCCATGGTTACCTTGGCATGTGAGCTCCTTGAAGGAAACATGGTTTCTTTCTGTGGAGTGTGTGTGTGCTCATTTATATAGAATAAAATTATAGTTCATTTACCCAGCATGCATGAGGTCCTGTGGGGAAAAAGAAAGAGAAGTATATAACTCTTGTGTGAGATTAAACACATTCACATTGTTACATAATCACCACTACCATCCATTCTCAGCACTTTATTTTCTTGTGGTACTGGGTGTTGAACCCACCATGTCTGGAGTGATGTGCTACTTCTTGCTGCACTCCAGCCCTTTTACTGTTTTGGGGACTGTATCAGGCTCACCTTGCATTCATAATCCTCCTGCCTCCCACCTGAGTGACTAGGATTGCAGGCGTGAACATCTGGTCAAAATGGGCAGAAGTTCAAACTTGACAATACTTTTTACTTTTTTTGCAGCAACTGGAGTTTGGACTCAAGGTCTCATACTTGATAGGTGCTCTGCCACTTGAACCATATCCCTAGCTATCTACAGAACTTTTCCATCTTTCCTAATTGGAAGTCTGTCTATGAAAAGCAACTCCCACTCCTCCCAGCCTCTGGCAGTTCTTATTATGTCTGTTTTTGTGCTGGTTTTGGGGCTTGAACTCAGGGCTTGGGTGCTGTCCCTGAGCCTTTTTTCTCAGCCCTCACACTTGAGCCACACCTCCACTTCTGGTTTTTGGGGGGTTAATTGGAGAGAATTATATCACAGACTTTTATTGCCAAGGCTGGCTTTGAACCACAATCCTCAGATTTCAGTCTTCTGAGTAGCTAGGGGACACCAGTGCCCAGCTGGCTTTTGATGTTTATGTGCAGGGGTGTGTGAGTGTGGGGAGGGGGTCTTTGTCTGTCGGTCTATGTCCTGGACTTGAACTCAGGACCTGGGCATTGCCCCTGAGCTTTTTTGCTCAAAGCTATCACTCTTAACACTGTGAGTCACAGCTCCACTTCCAGTTTTTTTCTGATGGCTAATTGGAGATGGGTCTCACAGACTTTCCTGCCTGGGCTGGCATCAAACTGCAGTCCTCAGATCTTAGCCTCCTGAGTAGCTGAGATTTATACGAGTGAATGCCCAGCTTGATTTCTAAAAATTTAATTATCTGTCTGTCTGTCTGTCTGTCTGTCTGTCTATCTATCTATATCTTTTTATCTGTGTCTGTTGTGGGGCTTAAACTCTGGGCCTGGGCATTGTCCCTGGGCTCTTCAGCTCAAGGCTAGTACTCTTATCACTTGAGCCACAGCACCACTTCCAGTTTTCTGATGGTTAATTGGAGATAAGTCTCATAGACTTTCCTGCCTAGGCTGGCTTTTTTTTTTGGGGGGGGGGGGGGTCAGTCTTAGGGCTTGAACTGGGCCTGGTGCTGTCCCTCAGCTCAAGGCTAGCGCACTACCACTTGAGCCACAGCGCCACTTCCACTTTTCTGAATGGTTTATTGGAGATAAGAGACTCACAGATGGGGCTGGGAAGGTGGCTCAGTGGTAGAGCGCTTGCCTCGCATGCATGAGGCCCTGGGTTCAATTCCTCAGCACTACATAAGCAGAAAAAGCTGGAAGTGGGGCTGAGGCTCAAGTGGTAGAGTGCTAGTCTACAGCTGAAGAGCTGAGGGACAGCACCCAGGCCCAGAGTTCAGGCCCCACGACCAAAAAAATAAAAGTCTCACGGAGTTTCTTGCATGGGCTGGCTTTGAACCTTGATCCTCAGATCTCAGCCTCCTGAGTAGCTAGGATTGCAGGCGTGAGCCACCAACACCTGGCTAATATAGCCTTTTTTTTTTTTTGCCAGAGCCTGGGCCCTGTCCTTGAGCATCTCTGTGCTCAAGGTAGTGCTCTACCACTTGAGCTACTGTGCCACTTCTGGTTGTTTTTGTTGATTTGTTACTGAGGAATCAAATGCAGGGCTTCATGCATGCCAGGCAAGCACTCTACCATTAAGCCACATTCCCAGCCTCAATATAACCTTTAATTGAACTATATCCAACTTCTCCTGATTCTTCTGTAATCTCTAGCATGCTATTAAAGACCATAGATTGACATTTTGGTTTTATATGCGCTTTTTCTCAGTTATAGAATTTTTATTTTTATTTTCTGTTCAGTTCTGGGGCTTGAACTCAGGTCCTGGGCACTGTCTGCTTAAGGTTAGCCCTGCCCTCTGAGCCTCAGCTCTACTCCACTTTTTTCTTTTTTTTTTTGGGTCCGGTGGTGGGGCCTGAACTCTGGGCCTGGGCGCTGTCCCTCAGCTCTTCAGCTCAAGGCTAGCGCTCTACCACTTGAGCCACAGCACCACTTCTGGCTTTTTTTTTTTTTTTTTTTGCTTATGTGGTGCTGAGGAATCGAACCCAGGGCCTCTGGAACGCAAGGCAAGCACTGAGCCACCTTCCTAGCCCCTCTACTCCATTTTTGGTGATTAATAGGAGATAAGAATCTCATGAACTTTCCTGCCCGGGCTGGCTTTGAACTTTGATCCTAACATCTTAACTTCCTGAGTAGCTACGATTACAGGCATGAGCCACTGACGTCAACATAGGATTCCATTTGGCTCTTTTTCATAGCTTCTTTTGCCATTTTTAATTTATTCTTTGATTAGAAGTATATTCTCACTAGCTGGTAGTGGCATACACCTGTAATCCTAGCTTCTTAGGACGGTGAGATCTGAGGATCATGGTTTAAAGCCAGCCTAGGATGGAACAGCCATGAGACTCCCATCTGCAACAAACTACTCAGAAAAGGCTGGATTGGTGCTGTGGCTCAAGTTAATAGAGCACTAGCCTTGAGCAAAAGCTCAGGGACAACCTCGGTCCTGAGTTCAGGCCCTAGGACTGTCATTTAAAAAAAAAATCTTTATGTTCTTTTTTTGGGGGGTGGGGTGGGGTGGGGGGGAGGGGGTCTGGGCCAGGGCACTGTCCTTCAGCTCAAGGCAAGCACTCTACCTCTTGAGCCACAGCGCTACTTCCAGTTTTCTGGTGGTTATTTGGAGTGAGTCTTTCCTGCCCGGGCTGGCTTTGAACCGTGACCCTCAGATCTCAGCCTCCTGAGTAGCTAGGATTACAGGTGTGAGCTACCAGTGCCCAGCTTCCTTTTTGTTCTTTTTTTTTTTTTTTTTTTTTTTTTTTAGTTTGTTTGTTTTTTTTTTGTCAGTAGTGGGGCCTAAACTCTGGGCACTGTCCCTCAGCTCTTCAGCTCAAGGCTAGCACTCTTACCACTTGAGTCATAGCACCACTTCTGGCTTTTCTGTTTATGTGGTGCTGAGGAATCGAACCCAGGGCCTCATGCATGCAAGGCAAGCGCTCTACCACTGAGCCACCTTCCCAACTCCTTTTTGTTCTTGAGTGAAGTTGTAATAGATTCTCTCACAGTCTTGATTTATTTTTGTTTTATTAGAGAATTTTTATTTTTTGTAATTGGTACATATTCATTTATTTTTTCGTTGTCTTTAAGTAGTTGTCCAAAGGGCTTTCAAGTCAGCCTGTGAATTTGTAAGCAATGCATCCTGTTCCGTGCCACCTTTCTCATTGTTTTCCCTCATTGAATTTCGGTATTTGGACTATTGTTGGTTTAGTTTGTATTTTCTTAATACGTTCAAAACTTTGGATTATATCTTGGTTATTATGAACAATGTGTTGTGGACAGTGAATTCTATTACAGTCCTCTTAATGTTCTTGTTTTTGTTTTTTTTGGGGGCCGATTTTATAGCTTGGTATTTGGAATCTGCTCTATGCGGAGTCAGCCTGAAACTTGGGCAGTCTCAAGTTCCCCCACCCCTTTATAGATGGCACAGAATTTAAAATCTAGAACACCTACAAAGGCCTGGCATTGGTGGCTCACGCCAGCAATCCTAGCTACTCAAGAGGCTGAGATCTGAGGATCACAGTTCAAAGCCAGCTAGGGCAGGAAAATCCATGAGACTCTTTATCTCCAATAAACCACTCAGAAAACCAGAATTGGCACTGTGGCTCAAGTGGTAGAGCTCTGGCCTTGAGCCAACGAGCTGAGGGATAGCGCCCAGGCCCAGAGTTCAAGCCCCACAACTGATCAAAAAAAAAAAAAAACTACCAAGTCGTGCTCTCTTTCTTTCTTTGAAGAGTTGACTCCTATCCATCTTCTCATGTTTTTGTTTTCCTGTGACTTAAGATTGGTTTTTGTTTTGTTTTGTTTTGTTTTTGGTTGGTCGTGGGGCTTGAACACTGGGCCTGCGCACTGTCCCTCAGTCTTCAGCTCAAGGCTAGTGCTCTACCACTTGAGCCACAGCATTACTTCAGGTTTTCTAGTGGTTTATTGGAGATAAGAGTCTCACAGACTTTCCTGGCCGGGCTGGCTTTGAACCTCGATCCTCAGATCTCAACCCCTGAGTAGCTAAGATTATAGGCATGAGCCACTAGTTTCCAGCTCTTCAAATAGTTTTAAATTTAAAAAAAAGTCCAAGATTTGGGCTGGGAAGGTAGCTCAGTGGTAGAGTGCTTGCCTTGCATGCATGAGGCCCTGGGTTCTATTCCTCAGCACCACATATGTAGAAAAAGTCAGAAGTGGTCCTGTGGTTCAAGTGGTAGAGTGCCCGCCTTGAGCTGAAGAGCTCAGGGACAATACCCAGGCCCAGAGTTCAAGCCCCACAACTGACCCCCCCCCCCCAAAAAAAAAAACACTTCTGTATGGGTCAAACACATCATTTCTCTGTGTGTGTGTGTGTGTGTGTGTGTGTGTGTGTGTGTGTGTGTGTGTGTGTGTGTGTGTGTGTGTGTGTGTGTGTGTGTGTGTGTGTGTGTACGTACACTAAACTAGAGCTTTTTGTGGGAGTTGATTGGAGATAAGAGTCTCAGGGAATTTTCTTTCTGGGCTGGCTTCAAACTGCATTTCTCAGCTCTCAGCCTCCTGAGTAGCTAGGAGACAGTGTGAGTCACCAGCACTCTGCTCATTTTGCTTTAAGCTCTTCCTGTTTTCCTACACCTGGCTGCATATATTGTTGATTCTTTTGTAATTTTGCTCTTACCAGAGTTTTAACCCAGGACCTCGTAAGTTGCTTATCTTGCGCTTTTACACTTTTTGCCTGGTAGTTGGATAGAGCCTTGGGAACTTTTCTGCCTGGGCTGGCTTCATGCTTTGCTCTTCCTGATCTCAGCCTTTTGAGTAGCCAGGATCACATGTGAAATACCGGTGCCCCGCAAGATTGGCTCTTTTCAGTACATAGGTGCTGGTGCAGGGTAGAATCTGCTTGTCAGGGCCAAGTATACAGGTTAAGTTGTGTGTCCCTGCCACTGATTATTGTTTTTGTGCCTGGAGTTGGCTATCTGGACAGGCCATTGTACTTTCCCTCTTACAAGTGATTCCTTTCAGCTTTATAAAGTTGAACAGCCTTCTGAAACATACCATTATATAAGCCAAATATGGCCTTAACAAACAACCTCCCCCCTCCCCCAATTTGTAGAGGTGCTGTAGAGGTGTGTTAGATTGTAATGTAGTATTTTTTCTTTTTGATATTGTAGTGTTTTAAGAATCAAAGCATCTAGGCTGGATGGAATTTAGCATCAATAAAAGTCCCCTTTCTGTTCAGAAAGTTGTAAAGTGCATGAAGATGAAGCAGACACCAGAAATCCTTGGCAATGGAAATGGAAAGACTCAGAACTGCGAAGTGAACCACGAATGTTCTGTATTCCTCAGCAAAGCTCAGCTTTCCAACAGCCTACAGGAAGGGGTCATGCAGAAGTTTAATGGCCACGATGCACTTCCTTTTATTCCTGCTGAGAAGTTGAAAGATCTTACTTCCCGTGTGTTTAATGGAGAACCTGATGCTCATGATGCCAAATTGTGTTTTGAGTCCCAGGAAGCAAAAGGAATTGGGACACCACCCAACACAACCCCTGTCAAAAACGGCTCTCCAGAAATTAAGCTGAAAATTACCAAAACATACATGAATGGGAAGCCTCTTTTTGAATCTTCCATCTGTGGCGACAGTGCTGCTGAGATGTCTCAATTGGAAGAAAACGGACAAAAAATGGAGAGCAAAGCAAGGAGGAACAGGAAGAGGAGCATAAAATATGACTCCTTACTGGAGCAAGGCCTTGTGGAAGCAGCTCTAGTGTCTAAGATCTCAAGTCCTGCAGAAAAAAAGGTATTTGAGAGTTTCTGTCAGGTCATGTGACAAGAGCAGTGTACAAATCCATATGAGATGCCTTCGTGTGTGCACTTGGAGAGGGTTGGGATGGGCCTGGTGCTGGTAGTCCTGGTCGCATAGGGCTGGTGCTCATGGAACCTTGATGGCAAGTCAGATTCAGCGGCCATGGGACTGTTGCCTCTGTAGGTCTTTAGCTGCCTTCTCTGCCATTTGAGGGGCAAGGGAGATTACTAAAATACTAAAAAGAGGTAAAACCAACTTCTGAACCCAGGCATGCCAATTTCCATGTGTTTTCTAGACAACTTGAGGCTCACTGTTTTCATAGATGCTGTCTTCTAGGCACTCCTAGGCTGACGGTCTGTGGAAACACAGGGTCCACTGTGAGGCTTAACGCTGTGCTATCACACACCTGGAAGCAGAGCTATATCATGCAGATGTGCTGCCTCTGTCCTTCCTGCTTACACTGCTGGCCACTCGGAGGCCTCAGACAGCGGTCCTGCAGATGGCTGCCTCCTTGAGGATTGGCACAGATGCCTGAGGAGGTCTGAGCTGTGCTTCCAAAGAGAACGGAATCCAGAGTGACTTCACAAAGATTTGCCCTTTGGGAGAATATTCCTCTTCAAAACCTGCCTATGTTCCAGAGATGGGGAGACCTAAGGCTTACAGTACTCTTAGCACTCAGAACATGACGGGGCCCTGCCTCACTCAGCACAGGGTGTCTTCATGGGCCTTGAAAGAGTGAGCGTCAGATAGGTGGCCGGGGTCAGGGCCATTGTAGATTTGGGGTTCTGAGAATAAAACACGGTTGAAGGCCATCTTCCAAGTTAAGGAAATCAATTTACAGAGAGACTTTTGTAATGTTGAACACTCACTAGACATGGTGTGGACCTTTTTGGGGTCAGCAATTGTGATGAAGTGACATTGAGGCTAGGATATAAAGGATAGTAAGGGGAACATACTTTTGGATTCTTGGATGGTTTGCTTTTGTGTTTTTTTTTTTTTTTTTTTGGTCGGTTGTGGGGCTTGAACTCTGGGCCTGGGCGCTAACCCTGCGCTCTTCAGCTCAAGGCAAGCACTCTACTGCTTGAGCCACAGCACCACTTCCGGTTTTCTAGTGGTTTATTGGAGATAAGAGTCTCACGGACTTTTCTGCCTTGGCTGGCTTTGAACCGTGATCCTCAGATCTCAGCCTCCTCAGTAGCTAGGATTACGGGCGTGAGCCACTGGTGCCCGGCTTGCTTTTGTGTTTTTTGTAGTGTATGGGATTGAACTCAGGGTCTTGAGCATGTAGGCAAATGCTTTTATCCCTAAGTGATATTCAGCCCTCCCTGTGTACCTTGAACTTTCAGCCTGATTACTCCTTGGTCTTATAGGTAGGTGAAAAGCTATGTTTAGAGGTAGAAAGCTATGTTTAGAGGTAGTTATTGGATGTCAATGTTTGTCTTTTGTTTTTACTTCCAGATTTCAGTTAAGAAAGAATCCTGTCCTAACACTGGCAGAGACAAGGAGCACTTGTTGAAGTACAACGTGGGTGATTTAGTGTGGTCCAAAGTATCTGGTTACCCCTGGTGGCCTTGCATGGTGTCCGCTGACCCACTTCTTCACAACTATACCAAACTTAAAGGTACTGCCTTGTTGTTGTTTTTTTTTTTAATGATCAGGTTTTGCACTTCTACCTTTGTATCTAATGCGTCTTATCACCAGGCTTCTTTCTCCCATCCCCCTAAGTGGACCTGCTATAGTCATTATTGTAGTTTCACCTAAGGTGGGTGACTGGTTCAGATATGACACAGGGCCTGGGCCCGAGGCTGGCCCTCTCCCACTTGATCCACAGCACCACTTCCAGCTTTTTTTGTTTATATGGTATTGAAGAATCGAACCCAGGGCTTCACCTTCCCAGCCCCAGTATACTTCTGGTCCAGCTTCCACATGTGAGAGAAGGCATGTGCCATTTGTCTCCCTGGCCTGTACTACCTCAGCATGGTTTTTCTAGGTTCATCCATTTTCCTGCAAATGATTTAATGTTCTTTCAGTGGCTGCATAAGATCCCGTTGTGTATAGATACCACATTTTTTGCATCCACTCACTGATTATGGGACATCTGATTGCTAACCATTTTTAATTAGCATATATAGTTGTGGTTTTCTTTGTAACATTTCCACACATGCCTACAATGTGCCCCGTCAACTTTACCTCTTTTTATCACTCTCCCTATCTCCTTCCACTTAGAGTGATTTCAACTAGTTTCATTGTTTTATTTTCATATATGCGTATAAAGTACTCTTATAGACACTCTTGTCCCTGCCACTGATACTTCCCAACAGAGCTTACTTTAGTCCCCCATCATTTTCTTTTTTAGTGTATATTTAGTTTTACTGAGGTTTTTTCTTTGGGGGGATACGGTCGTGGGACCTGAACTCTGGGCCTGGGCGCTGTCCCTCAGGTCTTCAGCTCAAGGCTAGTGCTCTACCACTTGAGCCACAGCGCCACTTCCGGCTTTTTTCTTTTTGCTTATGTGGTGCTGAGGAATTGAACCCAGGGCCTCATGCATGCAAGGCAAGTGCTCTACGACTGAGCCACCTTCCCAGCCCCTACTGAGGGGTTTTTTACAAGAGAATTTTACGTATGTGTATATATGTGTGTATCCTATAATTTGAACTCAGAGCCTTGCACTTGCTTAGCTTTTTTTTCTTGGCTGGCACTGCACTACTCGAGCCATGCTCCTAGCCTTGCAGATAGAATCTCATCGACTTTTCTGGCCAGCCTGGTTTCCAGCAGTGATCCTTCAAATCTTAACCTCTTTTGTAGCTAAGATTACTGGCTTGAGTCACTGGCTCCTGACCCATATATTAATATTTTAATCAGGATAATGTCCTCTAATTGCTTTCTTTTTCCCCACCTTTCCCACTCCCTATTGCTTAACTACTTTCTTATGCCATCTTTATGTATAGTGACAGTATGTTTTGATAGTCACCCTTCATCATTTTCTTTTTTTCTTTTTTTTTTTTTTTTGTTGTTCATGGGCTTGAACTCTGGGCCTGGGCGCTGTCCTTCAGCTCTTAAGCTCAAGGCGAGCACTCTACCACTTGAGCTACAGCACCACTTCTGGTTTTCTGGTGGTTTATTGGAAATAAGAGTTTCATGGACTTTGCTGCCGGGCTGGCTTTGAACTGTGATCCTCAGACCTCAGCCTCCTGACTGGCTGGGATGACAGGCGGGAGCCACCGGCGCCCAGCTCCCTTCATCATTCCTTTCCCTCTTCCTGATCCTTCCTCAACCCCCTGTTTATTTCTTGTGGTACTGGGGATTGAACCCAGGGCCTTGTGCATGTTAGGCAAGCATTTTGCCTTCCCCAGTCCTTTATTACTATTTATTTTTATTAATTAGTAGTTGTTTCTTTTTGGTCCGGTCGTGGGGCCTGAACTCTGGGCCTGGGTGCTGTCCCTCAGCTCTTCAGCTCAAGGCTAGTGCTCTACCACTTGAGCCACAGCGCCACTTCCGGCTTTTCTTTTCTTTTTGCTTATGTGGTGCTGAGGAATCGAACCCAGGGCCTCAGGCATGCAAGGCAAGCGCTCTACCACTGAGCCACCTTCCCAGCCCATTAGTAGTTATTTTTATTATTTATTTATTTACTTATTTTTTGGGTCGGTCATGGGGCTTGAACTCTGGGCCTGGGTGCTGTCCCTCAGCTCTTCAGCTCAATGCGTGTGCTCTACCAGTTGAACCACAGTGCCACTTCCAGTTTTCTAGTGGTTTATTGGAGATAAGAGTTTCATAGACTTTCCTGCCTGGGCTGTTGGGCTGGCTTTGAACTGTGATCCTCAGATCTTAGCCTCCTGAATAGCTAGGATTACAGGTGTGAGCTACCACCACCTGGCTTATTTTCATATTTTTAAATTAATTTATTATTGTTACAAAGGGATTACAATTACCCAAGTAAGGTGATGAGTACATTTTCCTTTGTTCCCTCATTCTTCATTATTTTTTAGACAGGGCCTCAATATGTAGTCTAGGATGGTCTTAAACTGGCTATGTAGCTTATGCTGGCTTTGAACTTGGTGTTCATGCCTCAGTTTCCCCAAGTGCTGAGATTATAAGCATGTATCACTACATTTGGTTCTGGAAACTGTATATAAAGTTTGGATATGATTTGAAGACGATGAGATGTGTCACGTACAGAATAAGGAAGGGTGAGCATCTGAAGCCTTGGCCAGACTAGGCTGATACTCTGGCCTGGTATGTCTGACCAGTCAGACTGTGTGGCCCTCATGCCTGTATGCATGAACTGTGCCTTCTGATCTTTGGCTAGAGCCACAGAGTTCACACAGCAACAGTGTTTCCTCTCACTTGGGCCTGAGTCCTTAACGTCGTTTCATGTCCAGCTAGGCCTCTTGTCTGGCTGTGGAGCAGGTGGCTGTGAGGAATAAGGTACAACTGTTACCTCCTGACAGTTATGCACTGGAAGGGCTGGGTTCAAGATGAGGAACCAAGTGCCCTGCCTGCGTCCTGTCCTGGTCTCTTGTCCCGAGGATTGCTGGACCTCTGTTGGGGGTTTGTATTCCTTAGGACTTGAGCAGAAGAGGAGTCTCTGGCCTCGGTTCATCAGTTTCCCTGGGAGACTTTCAATGTCTTTGCCAGGATGAGGAGAATCCCCCCAAAGTGTAGCAAAAACAAGGCATCTAGACTGAAAGAAGAGCCGGTTGACTAGCATTTGTCCTCCTTTGGTAGGGAATGAACCGGCATGTATCACCCCCAGCCCTGGTGTAGCAGTGTGTGTGTTTGGGTGTGCGTATGCCTGATGAATTGCTGCTTTCTCAGCTATCTAAAATGGCAGATCTCTCACTTCCACCTCATTTGTCTGCATAGTCTATCACCATGCCTTTTCTCCTGTTTTTGAGAAGCTGTGTTAAAATTTTCCATTAGGATAATGGATTTGCCATCTTCTACTGTTCTGTCAACTTTGCTTTACCATTTTTAAGGCTCTGGTGCTCTCCAGGGACAGAAACTTTAGCATGATGATTCATGTTCTTTGCTTCTCAGAGAACTGTGTGGTCTTTTGTCTTTGTGATGTTGCCCCTGTGTTCTGTTCCTGCTGCAGACACCACTTTATGATATCTCTTCCTTCCTGGAGCTCTAGCTCGTGTAATCCATTCTGTGTGGATCATCAACTGTTGTCAACTCAGCAAGCTCCCCCGAATCCAGAGAGACGATTGGCTCAGCATGCCAGGGTTACTTTGTCTGATGAGTTGTGATGGGGAGGCAGTTGGGCTCAGGACTGTTAGAGAAGGCCAGGTTCTCTTAGAAGGTACAGGTAGTGCAGAATGTTAGTGACAAGCATTTTCAGAGGTTGGCAGAGAAAGAGAGGATTACTAACTGATTAATTGTATGATTAAAATGGAATAGCAAGATTTTTACCACTTACTTTGACCAAATACACTCACAGAGGAGGAAAAATTAAGCTTTTCTTAGAAAAATACTAAGTATTAAAGAACTTCAAAAAAAGTAACTTTTGGGCTGGGAAGGTGATTCAGTGGTAGAGCATTTGCCTTGCATGCCTGAGGCCCTGGGTTCGATTCCTCAGCACCACATAAGCAAAAAGAAAAAAGCCAGAAGTGGCGCTGTGGCTCAAGTGGTAGAGTGCTAGCCTTGAGCTGAAGAGCTGAGGGACAGCGCCCAGGCCCAGAGTTCAGGCCCCACGACCAGACCCAAAAAAAAAAAAAAAAAGAGCCTGGCTTTAAACCACAGTCCTCAGATCTTGGCCTCCTGAGGAGCTAGGATTAGAGGTGTCAACACCAGTGCCCAGCTTCATTTTCATTCGTAAGAAAAATTTAGAAGATTAAAGTAATGAAGCAAATCACTAATCCCTTGACATATTCTTGAATTTCAAGTATTTTCAAGGTAAGTTTGCATATTTCTAAAGAAATCCTAAAGTACCAGGGGTGTGTGCCTATAATCCTAGCTACTCAGGAGGGTGAGATCTGGTTGAAAGCCAGCAGGAAAGTCCGTGAGACTTACATCTCCAATTAACTCCCAGAAGACCAGAAGTGGAGCTGTGGCTCAAAGTTGGTGGAGCACTATTCTTGAGCAAAAAGAAAAAACATAAAAAAAAAAAAAACAAAGCTCAAGGACAGCACCTAGTCCCTGAATTCAAGCCCCATGGCCAAAAAAAGAAATGTACCCATTTCATGTAATCCTTCTGTACATCACCCTTATAATAACAAAATATTTTTTAAAAAATCTAATAAACATTTAAACTATTCTAGAAAATTATATTGAAAGATTAATAATTAAAATTGTTCCTATCTTCCCATTAATTCCCCAAAGGTAATTATTTTTAAATCTTTAAACATTCACATTTCAAATGGTGGTAATTTTTGATTGCTTACTTAGTCATTTTAACTTTTTATTAGGAAAAGATTGAATTCTTCATTTCCTTTTTCCTTCCTTCCTCCTGTTCTCAGTGTGTGTGTGTGTGTGTGTGTGTGTGTGTGTGTGTGTGTGTGTGTGTGTGTGTGTGTGTGTGTGTGTGTGTGTGTGTGTGTGTGTGTGTGTGTGTGTGTGTGTGTGTGTGTTAGGGCTTGGATTCAGGGCCTTGCACCCTCACTTGGCTTTTTTGTTCAAAGCTGACACTCTACCACTTTAGGCAATGCCTCCACTTCCAGCTCTCTCTTCGTTTATTGAAAGACTCGTGCTATGTAGCCCATTTGGCCTCAAAGTCTTGATCCTTCTGCCTTAGTCCCTCAAGTGCTGGGATTAAAGGCATGTGTGGCAGACCCAGCTCTCCCTATTCTCTTTATATAATTGTCACAATTTCATTAAATCTAAGATAATTATTTACCTATTTTTTACTGTCTTACATATCATTCAGTGAAAAGTCAAGTTGTTTGGTATAATCGTGTGTACACATACATACACATTTTTTTTTGGGGGGGGGGGTCTGGTTATGGGGCCTGAACTCTGGGCCTGGGCGTTGTCCCTCAGCTCTTCAGCTCAAGGCTAGCGCTCTACCACTTGAGCCACAGTGCCACTTCCGGCTTTTTTCTTTTTGCTTATGTGGTGCTGAGGAATCGAACCTCAGGCATGCAAGGCAAGCGCTCTACCACTGAGCCAACTTCCCAGCCCCTCTTTTTTGTAGTATTGAGGATCAAACCTAGGGCCTGAGTTGTAACTGCATACTAGCTAGCTAGGAAAGTGTTTTTATCACCCTACATTTTCCTTGAACATTTTTTTGGTTTTCCTTGGAGTTGTTACATTATAATCATTATCATTATTACTGGTGTTGGTCCTGGGGCTTGAACGCAGGGCCTGGACGCTGTCCCTGAGCTTTTTTCGCCCAAGGATAGCATTCTATCACTTGAGTTACACCTCTACTTCTGGATTTTTTGGTAGTTTGTTGAAATTAAGATTCTCACGGACTTTTGTAAGCCTGGGCTGGCTTTGAACTGTGGTCCTCGTATCTTAGTTTCCAGAGTAGCTAGGATTACAGGCATAAGGCACAGGTACCTTTTTTCAAGTTTCATCTTCCTGTGATACGTTTTTTTCCCTATCTATGTAGTAGTTTTCTCCTACAAAAATAATAATAAAAACCTGTGAATCCTGTCTTTTCTGTTTCTTGGAACATACCTTTCAACCTTTTTTCCTTGTGACTGAGACTTATTCTCTTCTAGTGCTCTTTCCTGTTGCCTGCTCTGGGTTGCTGGCTTTTAATCATTTGCCCTCAAATTTTGAGTTGTGTTGTTTGTTATTTCTCCTTCTTTACTGGCATACACTATTTTTATTTTGTTGGTGATTGAACCCAAAGCCTCCCACATACTGGACAAGTGCTTTATCATTAAGCTACAACTCTAATCCTGGAGTACATTTGTACCATCCTCAAAAATTTATATGGGAGGTAGATTTGAATCCTTGTACTTCAGAGGGTATATTATCCTCACACTTGATTAATGGCTTTTTGGAGTAAGGACTCTTACATTGAGAATATAACCTACTTCAGCATTTTAAAGATGCTACTCTATAATTTTTTGCATCCATAGTTTTTGGTCTTTGTTGTAGTACTGTACCATTCTATGTCTTTTCTATTCCTGTCTTTTTTTTTTTTTTGGTGCCAATATTGGGGCTTGAATTCAATTCAGGGCCAGAACACTTTCCCTTATCTTTTTCTCTGAAGGCTAGCCTTCTATTACTTGAGCCCATACCTCCCTCCACTTCCAGCTTTTTGCTGGTTAATCACAGAGATAAGAATTTCTTGGCAGCTGGAGGCTGGTGGTTCATGCCTGTAATCCTAGCTACTCAGGAGACTGAGATCTGAGGATCACAGTTCAAAGCCAGTCTGGGCAGGGAAGTCTGTGTGAGACTTTTTTTTTGTTAGTCATGAAGCTTGAACTCTGGGCTTGAACACTGTTCCTCAGCTCTTCAGCTCAAGGCCAGCGCTCTACCAGTTGAGCCACTGTGTCACTTCTGGTTTTCTGAGTGGTTTAGTGGAGATAAGAGTCTCACAGACTTTCCTGCCCAGCCTGGCTTTGAACCTCAATCCTCAGATCTCAGCCTCCTGAGTGGCTAGGATTACAAATGTCAACCACTGGTGCCTGGCTTGAGACTTTTATCTCCAATAAACTATCAGAAAACCCAGAAGTGGCACTGTGGCTCAAGTGGTAGAGCACTGGCCTTGATCTGAAATGCTGAGGAACAGTGTCCAGGCCCAGAGTTCCGGCCCCATGACCACCACCACCGCCACCACCACCAACAAAAAGAATTTCATGGAGTTTTCTGCTAGGTCTAGCTTTGAACCATGATCTTCAGATCTCAGCCTTTGGATTAGCTAGAATTATAGGCATCAGTGCCTAGTGGTATTTGAAAGATTTTAATAGCTATTTCTTTTCCTTTGTTCTCTTTTCATAGAGAACAGTGTGCTTCTCCATTTGGAATCTTTTGCAGAGCTTGTCCAGAACTTACTTGTTTTTGTTTTTGTTTCTTTTTGGTCAGTAGTGGGGCTTGAACTCTGTCCCTCAGTTCTTCAGCTCACGCTAGTGCTCTACCACTTGAGTCACAGCACCTCTTCCAGCTTTTTCTGCTTATGTGGTGCTGAGGAATTGAACCCAGGGCCTCATGCATGCAAGGCAAGCACTCTACCACTGAGCCACCTTCCCAGCCCTCTTTTTTTTATTAAATCCTGATTACTAAGTAGTCTACAAAGGAGTTACAATCCCCTAAATTGGGTGATGGGTGTGGTATTTCTTGGTTGATGCATGTTGAAGTCTTGAGGACCTCTAGAGGGAGGAGATGAAGTAGCTTGAGTTGATTTCTTTTCGAGTTAGATTTGAGCTTAGGTATTCAGGAGGCTGAGATAAGAGGATCTAAACTCTTAGCTCCAATTAACCACTGGAAAAAAAGCTAGAAGCAGAGCTTTGACAAGCATAAAGCTTAGGGCAGCACCCAGTTCAAGCTTTAGAACTTGGCGGGAAGGGGGGGGAGATATGTGGGCACACACACGAAATTAGGATGCGTTTTTACGGTTAAGAAAATGAACTTCAGGGCCTGGGAAGGTGGCTCAGTGGTAGAGTGCTTGCCTTGCATACATGAGGCCCTGGGTTCGATTCCTCAGTACCACATAAGCAGAAAAAGCCAGAAGTGGTGCTGTGGCTTAAGTGGTAGAGTGCTTGCCTTGAGCTGAAGAGCTGAGGGACAGCGCCCAGACCCAGAGTTCAAGCCCAGGACTGGCAAAAAAAAAAAAAAGAGAAAAAAGAAAAAATGAACTTCAGTTGTTTTACTGAGTGAACTTCAGAGCAACAATAGAGTTGTCAAATTTCATCCTAAATTCTAATGCTACGTTTTAACGTTTTATTTTCAAAAATTAGGTCAGAAAAAGAGTGCACGCCAGTATCACGTGCAGTTCTTCGGTGATGCTCCGGAAAGAGCCTGGATATTTGAGAAGAGCCTTGTGGCCTTTGAAGGAGAAGGGCAGTTTGAGAAATTGTGTCAGGAAAGTGCTAAGCAGGCTCCCACCAAAGCTGAGAAAATTAAGGTGATAGAGTTTCTTTGGTATATTTTTAGATTAACATATTAATTTTTATTGTGCTATTTGTTTTGAACTAAAATAGTTGTTTATCAATTAGAATTGATTTCTGATTTTTTTCTTAAAATTATATGCTTTATTTAAATTTGTGCTATAGACACAGATATATATCTATAAACATGTATTCATTGGCTATCCTTTGGTGATTTATTGTTATTTCTAAATGTAACTGAAGATAAAAAAGTGTCCTTTAAGTGAGCTGAATTTTATGTTTGTGTAATGAAATTTTCTATGTTTTCTGTTTAGCTGTTGAAACCTATTTCAGGGAAATTGAGGTCCCAGTGGGAAATGGGCATTGTCCAGGCAGAAGAAGCTGCAAGCATGTCAGTAGAAGAACGGAAAGCCAAGTTCACCTTTCTCTATGTGGGGGGTCAGCTGCGCCTCAATCCTCAAGTAGCTACAGAGGCTGGGGTTGCTGCCGAGCCTTTGGGAGGAGGGCCAGACTCCTCAGGGGCCGTTGAAGAGGCTGCTGTTGATGCCAAGTCTGTGAGAGAAGAAGGTGTGCCCATGAAGAGAAGGCGAAGAGGGAAGAGATCCAGCTCCGCAGAGAACCAAGAGAGTGACCCTGGCACAGAAAAGAGTACTCCTCAAAAGGTGGCAGAGGCTGACCCCAAGAGAGGAGTAGGCTCACCTCCCGGAAGGAAGAAAGCCACGCCCTCTGCCCCACGGAGCAGGAGGGGAGACGCGGCTTCCCAGTTTCTGGTTTTCTGTCAGAAGCACAGGGATGAGGTCAGTACTCGGATGCCACCATTTCCAAATCTGGGGAACATCCCAGTAGGCCTTCGGTGTTTTGTCACTGGTCCCTCCGCAGCCTGCAGTGACTCTTGTATATTGATTTTAGGTCTAGTAAGTTCTGTTGGGGAATATCATTCTAACCCCTGGGAACAAAGACACTTATTTGTCTTTTTGTTGTTGTAGTTGTTGTTGTTGTGGGGCTTGAACACTGGGCCTGGGCGCTGTCCCTCAGCTCTTCAGCTCAAGTCTAGTACTGTACCACTTGAGCCACAGTGCCACTTCTGGTTTTCTAGTGGTTTATTGGAGATAAAGAGTTTCACGGACTTTGCTGCCCAGGCTGGCTTTGAACCGCAAGCCTCAGCTCTCAGCCTGCTGGGTAGCTAGGATTATAGGTGTGAGCCACTGGTGCCCAGCATACTTATTTTTCTGTGTACTTCTGAGTTGCTACCCATTTCCTCTCAAGTGGTTAAGAAGATAGCAGAGATAGGGAAGTGAGTTTCAGTGGATTACTCTTTGCCATGATCTTATCCTTGGCAACCAGCTCTGGCAGTATTTTCTCCAGCAGGCTGCTCCAGAGCTTCTAGTTTGGGGCACATACATGTATGAGCTGATGTATTCACTAGCACTGAGTCTGTGGAAGATTTATTTCCATGATATTTACTATTTTTATGCCAATCCCAGAGCTTGAACTCAGGGTCTGGGAGTTGTCCCTAAATTTCTTTGCTCAAGGCTTAGTGCTCTGCCACTTGGGCCATAGCTCCTTGATACTTAAAAGAACATGGGCTGGGTGTTGGTGTCTCACACTTGTAATCCTACTCTGGCAGTTGAGATCTGAGGATTGCAGTTCAGAGCCAGACTCTTAGCTCCGGTTTAACCACCAGAAAACTGAAAGTGGAACTGTGGCTCAAAGTGGTAGAGCGCTAGCTTTGAGTAAAAAGAGCTCAGGGTCAGCACCCAGGCCCTGAGTTCAAGCCCCATGATTGGACAAAAAACAAAAAACAAACATGGGTTGGGAATGTGGCTTAGTGGTAGAGTGCTTGACCAGCATACGTGAGGCCTACAGTAAGATTCCTTGGTACCACAAAAATAAACAGTAATATGTCAGTGATTAAAGCACTTAAATATTCTTTATTTTCATAAAATCCATGATCTGTTGATAGATAGGAAAAGCTCAATTCCATCATAAGGAGTTGAGGCTATCCATTTTGGGTCATAGTAACTTACTTTGAATTGAGTGGGTTATAGTGTAGGACTTAAAAGACTTTTTATATGGTTTTTAATTTTACTTTCTTGGGAATTTCTGTTTAGAAGTCCAAATCCCGATCGTGATTAAAGGTACCAATAAGAAATAGTGTTCAGAGCCAGGTGCCGGTGGCTCACGCCTGTAATCCTAGCTACTGAGGAGGCTGAGATCTGAGAATCGCAGTTCAAAGCCAGCCCGGGCAGGAAAGTCCGTGAAACTCTTATCTCCAATAAACCACTAGAAAACCGGAAGTGGTGCTGTGGCTCAGGCAGTAGAGCGCTCACCTTGAGCTCAAGAGCGCAGGTCAAGCCCAGAGTTCAAGCCCCGCGACTGACAAGAAAGAAAGAAAGAAAGAAAGAGTGTCTGGGCACATGCTGTGGCTTATATCCATAATCCCAGCTACTTGGGAGACAGCAATTGTGAGGATCATAATTCGAGACCAGCCCTCAGAAAACTTAACAAGACTTTATCTTCTTTTTTTTTTTTTTTTTGTCGGTCGTGGGGCTTGAACTCTGGGCCTGGGTGCTGTCCCTCAGCTCTTCAGCTCAAGGCGAGCGCTCTACCACTTGAGCTACAGCACCACTTCCGGTTTTCTGGTGGTTTATTGGAGATAGGAGTCTTACAATCTCTCCTGCCCGGGCTGGCTTTGAACAGCGATCCTCAGATCTCAGCCTCCTGAGTAGCTAGGGTTACAGGCGAGAGGCACCAGCGCCCGGCGACTTTATCTTCTTTAATAGCTGAGTGTGTTGATTACATGATTGCACCTGTAATTTCAACTGTGCAGGCTTCATGGATTGGAGGGCTGTGGTCTTAGACAAGCTCTGGGTGAGCATGTAAGACCCTGTCTGAAAGCAAAAATGAACTGTATGGCTTTGTTTTGTCTTCAAGATAGTCTCCCTATGTAGCCCAAGATGCTCTGAACTCTTATACTTTCTGATAAAAGAAAGTATAGGGCTGGGAAGTTGGCTCAGTGGTAGAGTGCTTGCCTTGCATGCCTGAGGCCCTGGGTTCGATTCCTCAGCACCACATAAGCAAAAAGAAAAAAGCCGGAAGTGGCGCTGTGGCTCAAGTGGTAGAGCGCTAGCCTTGAGCTGAAGAGCTGAGGGACAGCGCCCAGGCCCAGAGTTCAGGTTCCACGACCAGACACAAAAAAAATAAAATAAAATAAAGTATAAAAGGACTTTCTTTTTTCCCCCTATTATTAATTATTATTATTATTACTGAGCCAAGATTTATTGAACTGGATGAATCAGTAACTGGGGCTTGGGGAGTAGAGATCATATAACATACAGAATGTTTAAATTGACAGAGGGGTTCTGGGTGCTGACGCTAGGAGATTCTGATTCAGAGACAGATGAGGAAGACAGAGGAAGGCGACAGCTGGGTGGGGTAGGATCTTGGCTGTTGTGGGTATTCGTTCTGCCCAGTCCTATTATTTTTGTAGCAGATTTTTTTTATTGTGATTAAGTGATTACATAAATTTCACAAATTTCACAGTATTGTGAGATAGTGATACTTAGTTAAGGTCACAAACACATTCTAACCTTCATGGGGCAAATTGTTAAAAGGGCTTTCTTAATCCTTGAATGGTATCTCTCAGAACCTTTTCAGCAAAGATCCTACTTATTGATGATGCGGTAGAAGCATTTTCATCAAAATCATAAGACATTCTGCCTTGTTTACCACTTACTGAAAGTTACATTGGAAATATCAGCAAGTATAGTATAATAAAAGGAGAGGCATAGTTGGAAAGCAAGCAAGCTGTTATTATTTGCAGATGTCTATGTGGAAAACTGGAGAACGTATAGGAAGTCCGATTTCCTATATTGAAGACTGACAATAAAATCAGTGTATATACAAGTGCTGCAACAAGGATGAAATGCAGTGCTAACATTAACATTGATATAAAACAGAAAAAGCAAGGGCTTGGACAGCAGTCCTATTGAATCTGACTTTGGAGATAAATGACATGTTGCCAGACCTAAATAGAGATGTATCCAGATGCAGGCATTTCAGTATTGTGAAGGTCTTTGTTCCTTCTGTTTCAGTCTACAAATTCAGTGCAGTAAAAATAAACTCCCCCAAAAGTAGTGTGCACTGAGGGCTGGATATTCACTTAGTCACATTTGAAGAGAAGCTGGGCTTGAGGAACTGCCTGGCGGACTAGATATGGAAAACTCTGTTACTAAAACAGTGACATTCATGACAGGGACTTCACCCAGGAGCAAACTCTTGAGCACTGTGGGAATTCATGACAGAACTACAGCCAGTCTGCGCAGTGGTTGGCTGTTCGGAGGGGTGCTGAGATCATGATTTAAAAACTCAGCCCCCAAGGGAGAATAAATAGCTTTATTCTTGGGAGAGAGGATCTGTTGAATAAGTAAAACTTACAAAATTTGTAAGGAGCCGTTTAAATGAAAACTTATGTGCTAAGAACACCATAAATAATTGAAAAAGAATTGAGGGACAAGCCAGGCCCTGGTGGCTCATGTGTGTAATCCTAAGAGACTGAGATGTAAGGATCAAGGTTCAGAGCTAGCCTGGGCAGGAAAGTCTGTGAGTTGTTTTTTTGTTTTTTTGTTTTTTTTTGCCAGTCCTAGGGCTTGAACTCGGGGCCTGGGCTTCTTTTGCGCAAGGACTTCTTTTGTTCACTCCACCATTTGAGCCACAGTGCCATATTGGACTTTTTCTGTTTATGATATACTGAGGAATTGAACCTGGGGCTTCATGCGTGCTAGACAAGCTTATCTCCAATTAACTGCCAAAGAACCAGAACTGTTGCTGTGGCTTCAGTAGAGCACAAACATTGAGTGAAAAGGGTCAGAGACAGTGCTCAGGCCCTGAGTTCAAGCCTTAGGACTGATACCGCCCAAAAGAGGAGAGGGAGATTTAGTACACAAAAAGGTATTGCTTGGGGCTGGGAAGGTGGCTCAGTGGTAGAGCGCTTGCCTTGCATGCCTGAGGCCCTGGGTTCGATTCCTCAGCACCATATAAGCAAAAAGAAAAAAGGCCAGAAGTGGCGCTGTGGCTCAAGTGGTAGAGTGCTGGCCTTGAGCTGAAGAGCTAAGGGACAGCACCCAGGCCCAGAGTTGAGGCCCCACGACCGGACCCCCCCGCCCCCCCCCCCCCCAAAAAAAAAGAAGGTATTGCTTGACCCATCATTGGGAAACTTCATACTGAGGGTACAGGGCGCCCTTTGCCTTTGCAGCCACCAGGTAAGCAGTGTTGGACCAGGAGCTACCGGGGAGTTATGAAAAGGAGCAAGAAGGTAATTCTTGTAGAATGTTGGTAGAGGGTCATTTATCACACCTGTTTTGGAGAGAAATTTGGCAATATCTAATGAAATTGAAAATGTAGGCCGGGTGCCGGTGGCTCACACCTGTCATCCTAGCTACTCAGGAGGCTGAGATGAGGATCAAGGTTCAAAGCCAGCCTGGGCAGAAAAGTCCATGAGACTCTTATCTCTAATGAACCACCAGAGAACCAGAAGTGGTGCTCTGGCTCAACTGGTAGAGTGCTTGCCTTGAGCTAAAGAGCTCAGGGGCAGCATTCAGGCCCAGAATTTAAGCCCCATGACCAACAAAAAAGAAAAGAAAAGAAGGAAAATATGTTCCTTTTGTGTTACACTTTTACTCTTAGGAGTTTGCCCTAGAATAATTTTCTTCCTTCCAAGGAAGACACTAGAGCCTTCAAAACTAAAAAGTTACCAAATGCATGATAGTCGTGGTGTGTTCCTACAATGCAATTATAC